TTAAATAGTCCATAATGGTCCACTTATCTCCACTCTTACTATAACTTCCTTATTCTCATTTTTTTTTTGAGACTCAGTCTCATATAAATAGTTCAGGCTGACCTTGAACCGTGGCCTCAAATTCAAGGCAGTCCTTCTGCGCTAGCCTCCTGAGTGCTGGGATTACAGGTATGTGCCACCATGCTTGGCCCTGCCACTTTAATTCTTTATTAAATCAACTTCCCAACTTCAGTGGCTCCTTGAACAAAACTGTCATGCAACACTTGGCCTTGGCATATGAGGACCTTTGGGATCCGCCTTCATCTACTGTCACACCACTCTCCTGGGGTTCCCATAACTCTGGGCCTGTAGTAGCGCCAACCTGTTTAAAATCTACACCTCACCTCATCTTGTTCGGTATACAGGATGGCACCTGAAGGATGCCAAACCCAGGCATGCTTCCCTATGGCGACAACCTCCTGGATTAGAGTTGTCCACTAGAGGTCCGAGTAGCAGGATTCAGTGCATGTTGGCTATCTTGAGATTGCATCTCTTCTTTAGATTGTAAGTTATTTGAAAGGATGAACGACCGTGCCACAAAGCTCGTTGTTCACGATAAGTATCTGAGTGAATTAAGTTGGCCTGGAGACCAAACTGCTCTGGACCTCAGTTTCCTCATTTATCAAATAGATGTTGTACTTCAGATCTTAGAGTCCGGCTTCCAAAATTCCTTCATTCTGAAAATATCTGTGAAAGGCATGGGCCACACACAGCTAGACGGTGGGAAGCAGTTCCCCTGAACGCACCAGAGTTGAGGCCACACAGGCTCATGAATTCTTGATGTCACAAATCACAAACATTTGCTAAGCTACTTCTCTGCGGCTCAATTTCCTTACAGGCAAAAGCTCTGTGGTGAGTAGTATTAAAAGGTTGAGCTACGTAATGTATCCTGCACAAGCCAAAAAAATGTTGGTAGACTTCCTCCCCTGTCCGCCTCCTCAGCTGCCTCACAAGAAAGAGATACACTTGTGGGTAAATAACTGTACAAGTGCCAGACCTGGGTAAGTCCCTAAGGCACACTACAATAGGAGTGGGAGCGAAATTTCCAGCTGGAGTTCCGGAAGAATTTCCAGCTCTCTGAGTAAGGAGAATCGGACACATGGCAATTACAGACTGGAGGAGCCAGGGGATGGTGGATGGAGTCTGCAGGTCCTTAAAGGTTTCCAAAGCCAGGGGTGTCCGGGCTGTGCTCGCTCCTCAATGACCCTAGGAGCCGGGCGGGGCCTCTCCTGCGGCCGGATTTCCCAGTCCCGCCTCCCGCGAGGCCCCAGGTGGCGCGGGAACGGACGTCTTGTTTGGCCACCGGGGGGCAGCAGCGGCCCTTCCTGACCCCACCCGATCCTCTCAACTTTCCCGACGCCGGTCCACCCCTAGGGGCTGGAAGGCGGGGCGGAGGCTGAGTCCTCGGGGGTCTCGCCCGCCCCGCTCAGCGCCCACTCCTCCGCGATCCAGGCGTCCCGGGG